GTGAGGATTCTGAATAATAATTGTCTAAATAGAAAAAGTTGAATTCATGTTTTTGTTTGAACAAGCTTCTAGCAGAAAAAGCAGCTGGTATACCCCGTAAGGCAGTGTTGAACAAGGCTAATTTCTCCTTCTACCAGTAGGTGACGGTAGTGAGTATGATAATGTTCATTTACCAAGCCAGACATTTGCTCTAATGGACAGACCCAAGAGCCTTAGAGCTCAGTCCAATTCCCATATTTTCCAAAGTGGAAAATGATGTCTAGTGAGGTCAGAATGTGAAGACTGACTGACATGGCAAAGAATGAAACCCACATCTCATAATTATGAAATGGTCCACTTAAATAAATATTTTAATAAGCTATAAAACTAAAACTCAGAAAGTCTTGGGAATATAAAGCTATATAAGCTAGTCTAGACTTGCTTATCACTTTATGTTTTTCTTTTTCTAATCTAAAGTTAAATGATTATGGGAAGGGAGGGTCTCTAAATATTAAAGCATGATTGCTAAATTCACAGATGTGGCTACTAACTAGTTCTTTCAAGTACCTAATTTAAAAATAAACAATTTCCTCATTTTATTGTCTAAAATTATGCACAATGCAGGACTTGTTTCAGAAATAAAAGCTTTCTATTTTTTTTTTAAATCCTCACCCGAGGATATTTTTCCATTTATCTTCAGACAGAGTGGGGGGAGGGGGAAGGGAAACATTTACATGAGAGAGACACATTGGTTGGTTGCCTCCTGCAAGACCCCGACCAGGTCCAGGGACCGGAATCGAACCCATGACTCTTCGGTCCAAGGGCCGATGCTCCAACCGCTGAGCCAAACCAGCAGGGCATGGGTTAATTTTTTTTAACTGCGGTGTTAAGGAACAACCTAAATGTCCAAAAATAATACAGAGATCGATGTAGTATAGTGGTTATGCAGCCACACCACCCAGTTCAAATCCTGGTCCACCACTTACTTGCCCTATGATTTGGGGCAAGATTCTTAACCTCCTCCAGACTGTCTCTCTGTTATCAAATCCAAGTGCCCAGAACAGTACCAGTACAGTCGTCCCTCTCCACTTCGTGCCTCGACTTTCACGGCTTCACTCTATCGCGGCTTTTTCAAATATATTCATTAAAAAGTTGATCGAGACAGTGAAAAATGATACAGCGCGCACTCAGTTGCTGAGTCAATTATACACCCCTGTATTACAATTACAATTAAAATTACTGTATGTATGGACGGTAGGCCTATGTATTCGAGCACCCCAGGAATCCTTCAACGCCAGGTGCAACTACTGGAGTCCAGAACGGATTAACCGCGATAAACGAGAAATGACTATATGTAGTATCTAAGGACAATGAGGCTTCTAACCTTTTGAGAAATAGTGACTCCTTTAAAAGAGGACGCTTGAGCCCAGCCGGTGTGGCTCAGTGGTTGAGCGTCAACCCATGCACCAAGAGGTCACGGGTTTGATTCCCGGTCAGGGCACATGAAAGGTTGTGGGCCAAATCCCCAGTGGGGGCATGCAGGAGGTGGCCAATAGAAGGTTCTCTCTCATCGATGTTTCTATTTCCCTCTCCCTTCCTCTCTCTCTAAAATTAATAAAGAAAAAAAATCTTTAAAAGAGGATGCTTGCTAACCCAAAGAAATTTTTAATTGGGTCTCATAAACTCTATCAGAATGAACCAGAAGAAAAGTCAAACAGCCCTGGCTGGTTTGGCTCAACGGTTAGAGCATCGGCCTTCGGTCCAGAGAGACCCGGGTTCGGTTCCCGCTAAGGGCACGTACCTCGGTTGCAGTTTGTCCCTGGCCCTGGTTGGTCGTGCGGGTGGCAGCCACTCGATGTGTCCCTTTCACGTCGATGTTTCTCTCTCTCTCTCTTCATCTCTCTCCCTCCCACTCAATCTGAACAAAAAATGGAAAAAAATGTCCTCAGGTGAGGATAAAAAAAAAAGAAAAGTCAAACAAAATGCTTGGGGAGGCCGGCTTGCTATGTTGAGTGGTCTCTAAACTTTTGGAATACCCAGCTTCTGCTGCCTTCACTACTTAACCACAGGGTACTCTAAATACTCAAGTTTTTTTTTCTCCAAGATGAAATGTTGGAGACTGGTGAGGGTAGATGTTAAGGGACAAAAGCAGCCAATTATATGAACAAGTTTTTGAAGTATGGTATTTGCTTCCCTGTTCGAGTCTGTTGGAAGGGAGGAAGTTAGAGAAATGAACCCCCCACCCCCCCATTCTTCCGCAATTTGAGTTCAGTTCTCTTGCTTCAGAGCAAATGCAGAACCATTTTGGGTAGAACTTGACTTCCCTCCTTTCCTTTCTTCTTTACTGGAATGCCCCTTTAGCCCTCCAAAACCTCCAGGGTAAGATCTGTGGAAATCCTTATTACAAGAGAACTCTTCCTTCTCTTGATCTCAGGACAATACGAAGCTAGGGTTGGTCTGAAAGGCAACTGGCACACAGATTTGGGAGGCAAGGATCAAGCATACCCCCTATGACTTGCACAGTCAGGACTCAAAATATGTTTGATAAGTAGACAATACATATACATATATGAAGGTATGCATGTAATCTCAAACAGTTCCCGTTTATTGTATTCAGTATGGTCATAATCACACCAGGGTCTTATGAATATGTCAATCTTATTCAGATTAAGAAAAAAGTCCAATTTTAGAGACCTGAGATGACTAGTGGGTGTAGGAAAGGTATAAACCCAGCTTGAGCACTTTCTAGCTGTGTGACTCTTAACATTCCATGGAATTGTGGTAAGTAGTAGTTAGAGAGACATGAGCAGAGCAAGGACAATGGGCCAGGTACAGAAGGTCACCATGGTAGAAAACCCCACGTGCCAAGCAACAAACAATTGTGGGCTGGGACCTTCTTCCCAGAGTAACCCTTCCAAACCTAGAATATTTCTGGTCATGAGGTTTAGACAGCCTACCTTTCCTTTCTAGGGATAACATCTAGGCCTCAGCTGTGTTCCAGCTCCAGGCCCAGAAAAGTAGCAAAACCAGACAAGCAACACCACGGAGGCCATCTGAACCAGCTGAGTGACTAATGACCCCCTGCCCTGGCGCCAACCAATCAGTAGAGCCCATGACGCTAAAAGAACACACCTGGAAAACTGATGAATATTCTATTGAGATCCTCCTCTGGAACCTCCCCTAAAATCTCTACCCTTAAGAGCTTTTAGGATGGGGATCCAGCGCCCTGTTCCTCCCAGAAGAACATCCACCGGTGCCTTTCCCTTTCCCCTCTCCCTCTCCTTCCCCCTAGGTGCATTATCTTTACCTTCCTCATTCCTAGGCTCCAGGGGCCCTTCTCTTGCCTCTGTAACTTATTTCCTAGACCCATTTCTTCTCACTTTTCCCACCTAATTTTCTAAATAAATGTTCTCTTATGAGTCTTGGTTCTGATCTGACCCCACCAGTCTAACACCTGTTGCCTTTCTGGAATCTGCTGACAGGTTTGTTCCCTCATTTGTAAAAAGGGATTTAAAAATAAAAGCTACTTCATGAGTTGTTTCAATAATTAACTTTATTGTTTTTGGTTTTTTATCCTCATCCAACAACAAACTGCAACCGAGGTACGTGCTCTTAGAGGGAGCCGAACCCGGGACTCTCTGGACTGCAGGCCAACGCTCTAACTGCTGAGCCAAACCAGCTAGGGCTCAATGATTAACTTTAAAAACAGTAAAGCAGTCCTGGCCACGTGGATCTGTGGCGTGTTGGAGGGCATGCCAAAAGGTTGCGGGTTCGATTCTTAGTCAGGGCATAGGTTGCAGGTACTAGAGGCAACCTATGTTTCTCTTCTCTAAATAAAAAACAAAACAAAATAAAACAAAACATATCCTCAGGTGAGGATTAAAAAACAATAATAAAAACAGTAAAGAAGCCCTGACCAGGTAGTTCAGTTGGTTAGAGTGAACTCCTGAGATGCCAAGGTTGCAGTTCAATCCTCGGTCAGGGCGCATACGAGAAACCACCAATGCATAAATAAGTGGAACAACAAATCAATGTACATCTCTCTCTCCCCCTTCCTCTCTCTCTCTAAAATCAACCAATAAAAACAGTAAAGCACTATGCAAATGTTCTCGATATTCTTGGTTATCTAACACATTCTCTACAAGTATACTTTTCTCTATTATCTACAGAGAAGTTTTTAAAGAGATAATGAAGATGCTCAGAGGGATTGAATACAGATGAAATCTGAATGTCAGCAGCCCAAGAAAAATCAACCTGTGTAGGTTTTACTCCAGGACTGCCGAAACGTGAAAAAAGTACTTTATCCCAGCCGGTGTGGCTCAGTGGTTGAGCATGACCCATGCGCCAAGAGGTCACCAGTTCAATTCCATGTCAGGGCACATTCTCAGGTTGTGGGCCAAATCCCCAGTGGGGGGCATGCAGAGGCAGCCAACTGATGCTGTCTCTCATCTGTTTCCATCTCTCCCCCCTCCTCTCGCTCTAAACTTAATAAAGGAAAAAAAATTTTTTAAGAGAAAAAATTACTTTAACCTTTGGTGGGAGGGTTCTAACCCTTGACCGTTCGGTTCACAGGGACCAGGGAGGGTCCTACCCACTGAGGGCACTCTCATTTGAACTCTGCCCGCAGCCTCGCGGCCCCCGCCTCTCACTGCTGCCCTGGGCCCCCGCCAGCTCCCACTTCAGGACCATTCCGACCATTCCGACCCTCCCGCCTACCCGCTCGCAGGGCTCAGCCCCGCCCCCCGCCCCGACCTTCAGAAAATGAAACCCTGAAAAACTACCCAGAGAGGCGGGGCGCGGGGGATGCGGGGCGCCCTGGAGCCGGGCATGCGCAGAGGGCGCCGGGGGCTGCGGGCCCGGGAGGCGCGGAGACGGTACGGCCGGGTGGAGCAGCCACCTCGCTCTGACCCGCTCGGGGAAGTGAGTCGGCTGGCCCGGCTTCCCGACCCACGTCCAGGAGGCCCGGCCGGGCGGGGGCGGGGCGGCCCGCGGCGGGGCGGAGCGGGCGGCCGGGCCCGTACCTGGTAGCGGCCGGTGAGCAGCTGGCTCCGCGAGGGCGTGCACAGCGGCTGCGTGTAGTAGTTGTCCAGGCGCACCCCGCCGGCCGCCAGCGCGTCCAGGTGCGGCGTGCGGATGTTGGAGCCGTGGAAGCCCACGTCGTTCCAGCCCAGGTCGTCCGCTAGCACGAAGACGAGGTGGGGCGGCCGGCCGGCCCCAGCGCCCGAGGCCGCCGGCGGCAGCAGCAGCAGCAGCAGGACGGCGGGGAGGAGCTGCCGCCGCGGGCCGGGGCCTGGGGGCAGGCTGGCGGCGGGGCGCGGGCCCATGCTTTCGCTGCCCGCGGTCCCGGCGCCTCTGGCGCCACCAGCCCCCGGCGCCGCTTATAGAATCAGGAACTGGGCGGCCCGGGCCTGCCCCGCCCCGGGACCTGACGCCTCGCGGGCCGCGGGCTGGGGAGGCCGGCGCCCGAGCCCCCGCCGAGGCTTCCCTGGGCCCGGCCGGTGAGGCGGGGGAGGAGCCAACGGATGGAGCTCGCGGAGCGGCTGCCGCCCGCTCCAGGGGAACAGCGCGGATGCTTGATGGGGGCGAAGGATCGCCCACCTTTCCGGCTCTGATCTAGGCGTCGTGGCATCCTCACAGGAGCCGATTTGTGTTTCACAGTTTACAAAGCATTTTCACAGCCCTTCTCTAATCTCGCAACAACACTGACAGCTAGGAATTAACATTCACCCCCGCCCCTTTTTTCAGAAAAACTTTCTAGTAGTCCAACTCATCCAGATCCTGCGCTTTGATTGTTTTAAAGGTAGCGGGAGAATCATTAGCAAGAGGCCAGCCTCGTGCGGGCGAGAGGACGATGAGGCAAGCAGTAGCTAAGTGACGTTTCAGATTCTATTTATGAGCAGTGTGCCACTGTGAAGCCACTTCCTCCCCACTAGCAAAAAGGGGGCTCAATATACACTCAGATTGCACGGTGCCCTTTTGAAAGTGCAGTTTTACCTAGGCTTCTCTGGGAGTTGTTTGGGGTGCTGTGTGGGTATTGAGCAGCTTGTCCAGATATGAGCCCCTTCAGAGCTGGCCCTCTGACAAGTAGTAAGCCAAACAACTATAGTGTGTAATTTGCCTGAAATAATCTGTAAATGGAAGGAAAAAATCCCTTAACCACATGCTCATTGAATTGGGAAATTAGCCTTATGACCAGTAGATTCCCAATGCCCTCTAAGACTTTCACCTACTCCATGTCTGGAGATAGATAATAATAGTTGTAAGGTAAAAAAAATAGGCGCTGCATCCTTTTCAGGTTTAATGAATCTGATTCCATGGGAGTTATTTTACAACTTTATAAATTTTAGATAGCTGATAACAATGGAAACTGATTTTATAGCATTCTTTTTTTTTTTTTTTTTTGTTAATCCTCACTAGAGGATATTTTTTCCATTGATTTTTAGAGAGTGAACGGGAGGGAGGGAGGGGGGAAGGGAAGGGGAGAGGGAAAGAGAGAGACAGAGAGACATCATTGGAGAGACATATCAATCGCTTGCCTCCTGCACCCTTCCCTACCATTGCCAGGGACTGAAACTGCAACCCAGGTACGGGCCCTTGACCAGGAATTGAATCCATGACCCGTCCATGTTCCAGCCAAGTCTTCCCTATTCAGTTACTCCAATCAATGCATTCCTTTCTCAGCCTTTTCACCTCCGTTGTGTTTACTGGACTTGGAATGCTGGGAACAGTGACCACAGGGCAAAATCTGTTCATCTAAATTGATGCAAAGCCATTCATTCATAAATACTTGCGTGCCTTTGTGTCAGGCTCTACACTCTCTACACTGTTCCATGGAAATACTACAGTGCATACTGCTCTAACTCCTGGAGGAGGAGGAGAATGTCTCAAGTTTTACGTGTTATGTCCTGAAATGGGCTATGAAAGTGAAAATGCAGGTGATACTGGAACACACAGGAAAGTCTGATAGTCTAGCCTTGGGTCAGGATATGGGTCAGAGGTGTTTTCCTGGAGTATCTAAACCAAATCTTGAAGTAGGGGTTAGGAAAAGTTATGACCTTATTCAGACCAACCTTGAATACGAGGCTCTAATCACTGAACCGCACTGGCCAGAAGGGAAATGGATTTTTGTTTATTCCTATGCAAATGAATTATATCCAGCTGAATAACCCCTACCACCATGGAAAAAAACAGTTTTTGCCTCCACTTGCACATTTAATATTCCTGATCTGTTCTTTGGATTGTCTTTGGTTTAACACGGTACCTGTTTCCTCATGATGAGTTAAATAAAATCTTTAACATGTATTCCTTTTTATATCTGTATAAGTTAGGTAATGATTTAAAAAATTTTTATGTGATGACTTTTTATTTTTTTAATTTATTTTTATTGTTAAAATATTTTTCTTTTTAAATTATCCTTTAAGCCCAGCCAGTGTGGCTCAATGATTGAACATCAACCCATGCATGAAGAGGTTGCCAGTTCTACTCCTGGTCAGGCACATGCCCAGGTTGTGGGCCAAATCCCCAGTGCAGGGCATGCAGAAGGCGGCCAATCGATGGTCTCTCTCATTGATGTTTCGTTCTCTCTCTCCCTTTCCCTCTCTAAAATCAATAAAGAAAAAAAACTTAAAAAAAAAATCCTTTAACAAATGGAATGTTTCTCTCTTACAATATATGTAATTTTTTTCTTTGCATGAAGTAGATTAGTGTATATTATATCCACTTTTCATCTCTGGTGAAATCAATTACATTTAGCAGAAAACATTTTACATGTAGCTTTAAATTAAAAAGAATAATTTGAAAGAGCTGTTTGACTCTCATTATGTTAGGATTCAGAAATTTCACATGAAGAAGACAATTCAAGAGACCAGGACAAACTGAGAATTTCTAACTATGGCCCTTGCATGTCCTTCTCTCCCATAACTGTTCCTCTTGATAAAAATCAAATTGCCCAAGCCCAACCCATGGCTGCTAATCTGCAGGAACGATTACAAGACTTGACCAACTGCTTCTGAAACTTGCTAAACTTGCAATGAGCTTTCTTGTGTCCTTCATTTTCAAATAAAAGATTATGCCAACAGTGCTCTGGAAGTGTGCAAATGAGTTAATTAAAAAGAGTTACCTGTATTTTTCAGTTGTATATTGAACACTCTACTGTGCATGACAAACTAGTTATTATAAAATCAGTTGAAGTTTGTCTGATGTTTCCTAATGATTAGGCTCAGGTTATTGGTTTATGCAGAAATATCACAAGTGATCTTGTATCTTCTCAATGCTACATATTAAGAGGCACATGATGTTGATTTGCTCTGTTATTTGAACACCTTGCTCAGGTGGCCATTTCTCCACTGTAAAGTTACTATTTTCCTCTTGTCAATAACTATTTTATGGTGAGCTACTTTGAAAATATGTATATATTCTATTATTCCTAAAACTTGCCTATTAGTTTTAGCATCCACTCATTCTTTCTGTATTTATTAGTTGCCTTTCTACCATAAAGAAGAACTTTTACCTTCCCTCCCATCTATTTATTTATATCACTATGAACTCATGGATTCTTGTTTTAATCAATATGCTATCAAATTTTGCTGTAATTATTTCAGTGCTCAAATTTTCTCTGATTTGGGCAGTGGGAACCTCTTCAATCTGTATCCTTTTGGCATGTCCTCTTTAATCTTCAAGCAATTCCTTACTTTTTGGTACAACCAAATAATCTTGGTGGATCTTGTACTTTTCCTTCCCCGACCCTGAAATCAGACATTTCTCCAAGAAACCCTTATTTCTTTTAGTGGAGTGTGGCATGTAGAAACCAAGATTTGTGCTATGGGTGTGCTCATTGCTACTGGACCATCTTTGTTTCTAGGCTCTCTCACCCAACAAAAATAGGAACTAGATGTATGCATGTACACACATACGAAAGTATATATACATACCCACATACTATATCAATACATATGTATAGAAAAAAACATACCAGTTTAATTTTATTACCCTTTTTCCATATGTGTATGGGTTGTACCAATTTCCACTGTCTCCGGCTATTAAAAAGTACATATTAAAAATTTTTGGCCAGCCTGGTATGAGAAATGGTATCTCTGGATAGTTTAATTTTGTTATTAAATTCATCTTATTATAAGTAAGGTTAAACACCTTTTCATAGGATGAAGGGCCATTTTTACATCATTTTGTGAATTGCCTGTGTCATTTTTAAATTATTTCCCTCCTCAATTTTATTTTATTTTATTTATTTTTTTATCCTCACCCAAGGACATTTTTTCACTTTTTTTGTTCAGGTAGAGTGGGAGGGAGAGAGAGGAACAGAGAGAGAGAGAAACATCGATGCGAAAGGAACACATCGAGTGGCTGCCACCCGCACAACTGACCAGGGCCGGGGACAAACTGCAACCGAGGTACGCGCCCTTAGCGGGAACCGAACCCGGGTCTCTCAGGACCGCAGGCCGACGCTCTAACCACTGAGCAAAACTGGCCAGGGCTCCCTCCTCAATTTTAAGAGTTCTTTAGATATTAGAGATATTACCTAACTGTAATATCTATCACAAATATTTTCTCCCAGTTTGTCAACTGTCAAACATTTTGTTATGGTGTGTTTTGACATGCCACAGTTATTTTTTTATTTAGTCACATTTATATATTTTTTGTATTGCATCTGGACTTGAGTCACAGACTTTCCCTACACCAAAGTTAAACAAAAATTCAACCATATTTTCTTCTAGTACTTGTATGGTTTCAGTCTCACATTTAGGTTCCTGGTCCATTGGCATGTATCATTATGCATGATGTGAATCTAATTTTATCTTTTTCCAAATGATTATCCAGTTGTTCCAGCACCACTCATGAAGAAAAGAAAGAACTCTGTCTAGTGATATGAGACGCCCCCTTGATCACATTCATAATTTCCATATATACTTGGGTCTATTTCTGGGCTTTCTGTCTGATTCCACTGGCCGGTCTGTTGATTCACACACCTGTACGCACCGTTTCAATCACAGGCTTTACAATATGTTTTAAGTTATATTAAGGATAGTGACCCCTTATAGCTCTTAATGTTTAATGTTTTCCTGGCTATTTCTACAAATTTATTTTTCATATGAAATTTAACATCAACACGTCCAGTTCCATTAAAAAGTTGGTTGGTATTTTTCTTGAGATTAAATTAAATTTATAAATTAATTTAGGAACAACTGAAATCTTTATAATACTGAATTGTCCTACCTGAAAACAAATGTCAGCTTTCACTTATTAAGGTCTACTTTTGTATTTTTTTAGAACTGTTTTTTAAAATTTTCTTCATAGAAGTGTTGTGCCTTTTTTGTTAAATTTATTCCTAGGTATTTTATCTGTTGTGTTGCTATTAAAATGGGGCTTTCTCTGCCATTCTGTCTTTTAACAGGTTATTCTTTGTGGAAATGAAGGCTATTGATTTCTTTGTGGTAATTTATATTTTACCAAGTACTGCATTATTTTACTGTTTGGGCTATTTTATTTTATTCTTATTTTTATTTATTTATTTTTATTATTTTTTATTTTTTTATCCTCACCCAAGGACATTTTTCCATTTTTTGTTCAGATAGAGTGGGAGAGAGGAGAGAGAGAGAGAAACATCGACGTGAAAGGGACACATCGAGTGGCTGCCACCCGCACAATCAACCTGGGCTGGGGACAAACTGCAACCAAGGTACGCACCCTTAGCGGAAACCGAACCCGGGTCTCTCCGGACCACAGGCCAGCGCTCTAACCACTGAGCCAAACCGGCCAGGGCTATTTATTTTTTTAATCCTTACCCAAGGACTTTTTTTTTTTTTTTTTTTTTTTTTTGCATTTATCTTCAGATAGAGCAGGAGGGAGAGAAGGAGGAAGAGAGAGAGAGAAACATCGACATGAGAGAGACACATCAACTGGTTGCCACCCACACAATCCCAACCAGGGCCGAGGATGAACTGCAACCGAGATACATGCCCTTAGCAGGAACCAA